ATGAGCACGTTACAGCTTTAAGAAATTTGAGTTCTCTTATTCGTCAATACTTCCCTACAACGCCTACTTATTGGGCTATTGGAAACCACGAAGGGGTCCCTGTTAATAGGTTAGTCAACGTATGAACTGAAAAACAAGAGAGTTAGCGAGGAATCAGAAATAGTGTTCTTTACAAATGAGGGGAAAAGTCTGATTTAATAGGAATTTTTTTTACTTGTCCACAATTTATATGAAACAGTTGTTTGTAGGATAGCCTTTTGAAATCCATTTCTAAAAGAAAAAAACCTATTTATCTCGATACACCGTATTAACACCTCTGGTCACCTTCAGCTTCGCTCCACACTTTGTCGACGAGCGGTTCTGGCCGATATGGCTTTACGAAGAATTTGCTAAGATGAGCAATCCATGGATCACATCGGAAGCTTCGAAAGCTGTACTCTAGTGAATATCTGGTCTGAATATTTGAAACAGGCTTAGCTAGTTACTTTGGAAGGACATTTCAGTCGTGGATCGTATTCAGTCCAAGTAATAGAAGGGCTTCGGCTAATCTCGCTCAACTCAGGATTTTGCGAAACAACAAATTTGTAAGCTGATAGTCGAACATAAAACAACTTGATTGTCATTTGCATATTTTAGCTTCTTATATCTGAATCAGAGTGATCCGGATGGGACGATGACATGGTTAGCTGCCGAGTTATTCAAGGTGAACAAACCAGTCCTATAATCTGTTTGCTCAATTTCGAATTTGAGAGAAAACACACTTTTACACCTCTCTGATATTGCTCTTTGTAGAAATTTATATTGCTACTTGGCTTGCATTACAGGCAGAAGTCGCAGGAGACTCTGTGCACATATTGTCACATATTCCACCCGGAGATGGAGAATGCCTCGAAGGCTGGGCTCGCAATTACTATAAGATCGTTCAGAGGTCAACCCCTTCATATGTTACCTTCCTGCTTTATTAGACTGCTTCAGATTTGCCGATGTCATCACAGCACAGTTTTTTGGACACAATC